TGAGACACGCTGGCGTTTGCGAGCCTGGGGAGACCAAGAACTCGCGCGCAAAGAAATGTTCGCTGACGCGACTCCTTCTGTAGATCTGGGTGAAGTCGGTGATGGCAAAGAGAAGCGCACCTTCTTCACTGGCGGTATTGACCCAGGGCAAGCTTCCCGAGCTCTCAGCTGTTGTGGCGGTGCCCGTGGCAGTGGGGACCCTTCGGCATGCCTCGGGCGCTTCGCCTCAGGCTCCTGTGAGGCTCGGCCGCCTCCCAGGAACGCGTCCCGTCACGAGGATGCCTGGGCCGCCGCGGGCCTTCTCCGGGGGGGGGGGGGGGGCGCGAGCTCAGTGGACCTCGACGTGCAGGAACCTGTGGGGCACCCTTGACCTCAGACACCTTGCGGATGTACTGCTTGCGGCCGTAGCGCTCGTAGTAGGATGCGTAGTAGCCCCCTCTCCGAGAGTGTTTGGCCCAGCTCTGCTTGACGCGACGGATCCCACCAGCCTGCCCAACGCCGTCTGGGACGCCTGGAGGTCGGCGTCGGCACGGGACCTTCTTGAACTGATTCAGGACGTTGCTCTAGCCGCACTTGCTGCACGTGAACATTCTGCATCATGTGAGTATACTGTCGGGTGTGGCTGGACTCCAGGGTCGGCGATCAAGTCACAGCATCGATGTCCTGTGAAGCCCCAGCCCGCCAAGTAGAAAATAGTCGCCATGCTTTTTGCTGATTGCCTCGACGCATCGCTGCTGCAGCCGGGCCTCCAGCACCCTGTCTCGCTCTGCGTGCCTCTGGAGGTTCGTTCGGGATGGATGTGCCCTGACATACTCGCCGATGGAATCTCCACTGCTCCCGAACCCCAGCATATGTCTCATCATCAGTAAGATCTGGCTTCCAACCACGAGGACAGTTCCAGTGTACGTAGCTGCCTGGACGCGGGCCTCTGCGCCACCTCCCAGTCCAGGAGCACTCCTCGGCCCCCCGAGCCCACAGCGGCGGAGCCTCCGCCCCGGGGAGAGCGACCGCCTGGCCCTGCAGGAGCCACTGGCCCTCGCCTGCGCCGCCGCCTGCGGTTCCGCCCTCGAGCCGGCCGTGGACGCCGCCACCCGTGGGCCCGGCATGCTGCGAGCACCCCTGGGACGAAAGGTCAAACGACGCGAAGATCGGGACAAAATCGGATCGGGATAACTCGAAATCTCTGAGAATCGGCGGGTTTGGAGGATGTATTGGGCGCCTCGGCCGCTCCAGAGCGTTCCGGAACGCTCTGAGAGCGGAGAGCGCTCCGGAACGCTCTGGAGCGATTTATCCCGATCTTAGCCCTGTTTTAAAAGGGACGTTCCCGCAGAGCGCGTCGGCGTGGCCGGGCCCAGCAGGCCGCGGGCCCCGCCCGATGATGGGTAGAGAGAGTCCGTGCCGCGGCCCCTGCCGGCGGAGTGAGGAGGGCAGGGCCTGGACGCCTCTTTTCCACTCCGCCTCCACGTCGGGCCACCAGCAGAAGCTCGTAGTGGCCGTCCGCCAGGGTCCGCCAGCACTTCCCAGTGGTCTTGATGCTGGCGGGAGCCGCGGAGAGATGCCACTGGACCAGCTGCTCCTTCCATACCGGGAGACCCGTGCTCAGCGCCTGGGCCGCGGCCGGGGCAGCACGCGAGGTCACACATGTCCCCGCCTGCGCCTGGGCGTGTGCTTCTTCCTTCGCAGCTTTCATCTTCGACATCTCGGCCGCCACCGCGTTCCCGAGAGTAGCCTGCGACTTCCCTCCAGGGCCAAGGGCCGCGATCTTCAGGGGCTTCTGGTTCGTCTTGCTCGTGTAGGCGTGGCACGCTGGAACAGCTGCAGAAGCAGGCTCCCTTGTCCCCGCAGTCGCGCTTCTTGAAGTGGGAGCTCCATGGCGGCGTATCGGCAGCCACCGGTGCCTCCTTGGTTGTCTTGGCCGTCTCGGGCTTGGGCTGGGTCTGCGGCGGCTTCTCCTCCTCGTCCCCGTCCCCCGCGTCCATGATGGTGTCTCCACCCTCGTCGACGTTGCCGATCGGGGCAGCCCTGGTAGCCGTCGCTGGAGAGGGTGTGAACGTCGACGTCGGCGTCGCTTTGGAAGGGCTCGGGGCCCCCCACGCCGTCGTCGGAGCTTTTGTCGGTGAAGGGCGGCTGTGACCACGGCGTGGGGGAGCAAGTGTAGCGAGGATGCCTGGCTTGAGCTCATCACGTGGCCACTGAAGAGCGTCTCAAGATTCTGTAGGCTTACGCCACATCCGCCGACCCCTCATCTTGGCGGTCTTGCCGGCTCGCTTGAATCGGGCTGGGGAGTCGTGTAGGGGTCCATAATGACCTCTCTTGGGGCCATGTGGAATCCGCTTGGGGTCATCTCGAGGCCCTGGGGGGCCCATCTGAAAAGAAAGGACGCTAATGCAATCTTGGCATTGTTCTGGAGATGCCCAAAGGGTGGAAGCGTTGGATTGGGGCCCGTATATTTCTTGCTCGGTTTGACTTCTTTGGTGAGGCGGGGTTGTTTTGGGGGGCATCCCTCAGCCCGCACGGGGAACCGCGGGCGAGAAATGGTGCAAGACGTGCAGAGGGTGGGCAACGAGAGGAGAGAGTGACGACGCGGCACGCCATGGCAGCGGTCGGAACGCGGATGCGGCTGCCGACGACGGGGAAACGAAAAGGATTAGGACAATGTGCTGCGCGAAGTGCAGCGGTATCAAAGCCAAGCAGAACTCGCGGAAAGACAGCGCGAAGTGGAATCAGAGCATCGGAACACTGCGATGTACGAACGGTAAGTGCCTGTCGCTATATGACGAAAAGGCGGATATGTCGGAAGCTCAGAAGAAACACAATGCTGCGGGGGAAAGGCTCTGTCGGAAATGCGCGGAAGAACGAGAGAAAGAGGTGCGACGGGGGAATGCGGAGGCAGCGAATCGCAAGCGGAAAGCCTAGGCGGACGTGAAGCCACTGACGTGCGCGGCGTGCGGAGAAGCGTTCTCGGACACGAAACATTTGAAGCATAACCAAGTGGAAGATCATCGAGCGGCGAATGGAGCGAAAGTGGCGTGCGGAGGCTGCAAGAACCTCGGGTTCACAGCCCGCAGTTGCCAGGCGTATCACTGCGGCGGCGCGTGCAAGAGAAGACTACCGAAGTCGGCGTTCTCCGGGAACCCTGCCAACGTCGCACGCGATGCAAACAAGGACACCCTGATATGCAAGACCTGCAAATGATGCCCAATCGGGGGCAAGCGTGCGGGGGAAGACAGGGGGGAGGGGGAGAGAGGGATGTGGGGTGAGGCGGAGGATGGGGGGAAAAGAATCGGCAAGGAAGAGGATGAGGCGGGGGGGGAAGAGGAGGAGTGGGCGAGGAGGAGGTGGAGGAGGAGGAGGAGAGGGGGAGGAGGACGGGGACACAGAGACGAAACTCTGGGATATGTGCTATGGGTGAGAGGCTTTTTTGTATGTGTATAGGGATCTGGCGGCACGCCTCTCGGGGACCTCTGGGAAGCAGTTTTGAACCCACCTGGCGGCCGAGGTGGAGGAGGAGGAGAAGGAGAAGGAGGAAGGGGACACAGAAACAAGGCTCTGGTTTATGGGTTTTGGGTTAGAGGCGTCTTGCACCAGCTTGGGACCAATTTGGAGACAGGTTTTGCCGTCTTGGGATCGTCTTGGGCCGAATTGGGAGGCGTCCTGGGCCGTGTTGGGATTCTCTGGGGCCGTCTTGAGGCCCTCTTGGGGCGCCGTGGGGCGATCTTGGAGGCTCTTTGGGCTACGTGAGCCGACGGAAGCCGGGAAAGGCAACAATTGCAAACATGTTCAACAACGCAATGGAAATGTAATGAAATGCGTAATGTGCGCCTCTTTCAGATGTCCTGGGGGTCTTCTTGGAGACTTCGTGGGCGATAGTGAAAGCCTTTTAGGCCATCTTGAGGCCATCTTGGGCCGTCTTCGAACTGTCTTGGGCCGTCTTGGAGCCATCTTGGGCCGTTTTGGAGCCATCCTGGGCCGTTTTGGAGCAATCTTGGCCTCGAGAGCGCGAATCCTTTTTTGTGCGCAAACGCAACCCCGCCACCGTGCCTGGGTTGTTGATATGAGACTTGTGCGGTGATCGTTGGGATCTCTTGGGGGGCTTTTCGCGGGACTCTTGGAGGCAGTTTCGAAGCCTCTTGGGGGCCGTTTTGAGGCCGTTTTGGAGCCTCTTGGGGGCCTCTTGGGGCCTCTTGTGGGCGTCTTGGGGGCCTCTTGGGGCCTCTTGGGGCCTTCTGGGGCCGTCTTGGGGCGGAAGGCTCGGATTGTCGGTTCGGGCTCCCCCTCTTGGGCACCTCTTGGGGCCGTCTTGGGGCCCTCTTGGGCTGTCTTGGGGGCCTCTTGGGCCGTCTTGGCGCCCTCTTGGGCCGACTTGGGCGCCTCTTGGGGGCCTCTCGGGGCGGTCTTGGGGTGCTCTGGGACCGTCTTCAACGCCGTGAAGGCCGACAAGTAGTATATGATCAAAATGTACGTTTTCCCATCGGAATTTGACGATTTTCGGCGCTTCGGCCCTTTTGAGGACTGCTCTTGGAGGCCTCTTGGGCCGTCTTGGAGGCCTCTAGGCTCGTCTTGGGGGCATCTTGGGCGTCTGGGAGCGCTCGTTTGGCGCCTCGGAGCTCTCGTGAGCCGTCTTGGAGGAGTCTTGGGGCCTTCTTGGCCCGTCTTGATCCCCTTTTGGGCCCAAAAGAGCCCCGTGTGCGCTCGTCTGGGCCCGGGGGGGGGGGGTCAAATCTCCGGTTTGGGGTCCCAGGGGGGGGGGTAGGGGGGGGGAACTATCTCACACGCCTAGAGACCCACAAGGGGTCGGCGGATCATCTCGGAGAAACCATCTGCGAGTCCCACATCTCGTGACGCCCGGCACATGTTTGAAACCACGGTCGACAGCCCAAGCTCTAAGCTGCTCGTCCTGGGTCCACGACGATGGCGTGCGTTGTAGGATCCATCTTGGCTGGATATCTGTAGCTACGACGGATGAAGAAAGAACTCCCAGCGCACTGTTCTCGTTAGGCCTGTAGACTAGGCGCCCTTTGGCAGCAACGGAGACTGCCAGCACCTTTCGGAAATACGAGGTCTTGCCCTCGTCGTCTTTGAGCTTGTGCCACACGGGGACCAGCGACGACCCCTGCTGGTTCAGGAAGACCCCACTGGCAGCGCAAACTTGAGGATGTCATCAACCTTGGACGCGGCAACGATCAGGATTGCAGTGAACTCCGTCTCGTACGCCACCGCCCCCTTGGTCTTCAAAATGTGTTTCGCGAGCTCGGCATTGAGGACTAGCGAGGCCACCGCCACAGGCTTTTCGTTCGCCCGTTGGAACAGCCAGTCCTCTGCGTAGTCCTGGCGATGGTGATCCTGACGCTGGCTGGCTTCTCAGCAGGCGTAGTGATGGGAACATCGTCCTTCACCCCAGTCGGTAGGCCAACTCGTCGTGGCGCTCGCTGGCCGACATACAAAATTGGTGCGGAGATCTGGGAGCCCCTGCCGTTGATCCCCTCAACAGTAACCTCTATCTCCTCCCATCCTTCAAAAGCGTCTTCTCCTCGAACAGCACATCTGTCACGTCTGGCTGCAGACCTTTCGCCCGCCACCAGTCATGTACACCGTCGTGCTCCTTGCGGCCCTGGCATGCCACGACAGGAGGGCGCTCAGAATCATGCCCCTTGTCTTGACATGAGCCGCCTGCCACACTGATTCTGACCCCCACGGGTGGGGCAGGGGCTCGACAATCTTGGACTTGGCGGCAGGCGGCTCCGAAACGCCAGCGGCCGAGGGTGCAGACGCCGTGCCCCCGCTGTCCTGCAAGGGGCGCTTGAGCGTGGCCACGAGCTCTTTGTGGGTCGGCGGCTCCGCCTGCTTGTCGGCCAGGTGAATGAGGCGCTTGAGGCGGTCAAGCAGGCGCGGATCACGTCGGCGTCCTCCATCGTGCTGAGGAACAATATTCTTCTTCTTCTTCTTCTTTGTTGTGTGTTCTCTGGAGCCGTCTTTGTTGTCTGCGTTGTACCCCATTTGACCTGGGCTGCCAGATCACGTACCGTCGCCTCAATAACAGCAAGTTGTCTGGCCGTGCTCACCTGAAGGTTTCCCCGCCTCCGCTGTGAGCCCATGCCATTCTTTGCTCCACCGGGTAGCGAATCTTCTTCCCGAAGCTCGTGGGAGGCCTCCGCTGGGAGGGCCTGCAGGTCTGGCAAAATCTGGAGGCCCAGGAGGACGGAGCCGTCCGTCCGAGGCGACTAGGGGGGAGATCTGCACGTTGCTCGTGGTCCCCTCCGCCACGCTGTCGTTGAACTTCGCAGTGTCGGGGGACATCCCATCATTCCCATTGTGGGGGGGTCCAGCTTCAATGATGGGGTGCAAGAGTCTGTGGTCGATCTCCTACTCGAGGGTGGGGTCGGGGGATCGTGCCGCATCGCCGACTGGAGCGGGATGCGAGGCTGCGAGCAGTTTGGGACGTTGGTGCTTGGGAATGGGGCTGGGGCCAGGGGTCTGGGGCCCGGAGTCTGGTGTGGTCTTGGCCTCCCAGATGGGGTCCGAGTAGATGGGGTCGGAGGATCGCGCCGCAGCGCCGAGGCATCGGGGATGCGGGCCGATGAGGAGCCCGATTTTCTCCACGCCGACGGTGCCGAAGCAGTGCCGACGTCGCCGATGCATCGCCGATGAATCGGTGATTTATCACCGATCTACTCTGACCCTATCTTGTACTCTAAGATCAGACGTTGCGAAAAAATGAGACATCACAAAACATCGCGACCAGAGCCCCGAACTCAACATTTCTGCGTTGTGTTTCGAGCCGGATCGATCTGCGAAGGCCCTGGGGCCAAATGTTCGTAAAATCGTCCGTGGCCAAAAAGATGCAACGCTGGGAGATTAGGGCAGGCCTCGAGGTGGTGCCACTTGGCATCGCTCGGACGTGTGCAGTTTTGTATTCGATCACCTGCGAAACAAAGCACGCACGAAATCGACAAATGCACGGGGAATGGACGTCCGAGCGGTGGCGAGGTCAAGTCCACACAGGCCCGCGTCGTGGCAGCAGTGACGGCGTGTTCCGCTGTCGGGGGTCGGGGCAGTGCTCGGCCTCGGCGGGGAGCCCTCGCCGGGCCTGCGGCGCCGTCAGCAGCGTTGACGGCATGAGGAACGGGCCCTTGGGGAGAATCGGGGAGCAGGAGATTCACTCAAATTGGGCGGCGAGCGCGGGGGGAGGTGAGAAGGAGAAGGCCTTCTCAGAAGGCGGCGCGGCTTCTCATGCTCAGAAGCCCTCCGGCCTTCTGGGGAGCGTTTCCTGTACCCGGGGAAGGCTAGGACAGTGCATCAGGAAGCCCAGGGATGTCCGAGCCTTCTGAGAAGGCCCACCCCCTCTTACTTCCCCCTGGCTCGCCGGCAAGAAATACGTAGCACCCCGCAGATGCGGATAAGAGTGAGGGGGCGGTGAGGACGTCGGCAGTTTGTGAGACTCTGGAGAAGCCCGCCGCAAGCGCCAAAGTTTCACAACTTCTACAACGAGCACGCCGCAGGCGCCGATTCTTTTGTTAAACCAGTGTGGGTAGGTCGCGGGTGGGTCGCGGGTGGGTCGGTCGCGGATGGGTCGCGGGTGGGTCGCAAAGGGGTCGCGGATGGGTCGCGGGTGGGTCGCGGGCGCGTCTTTGTTGGGTCGCGGGGTGGGTCGCGGGTGTAGAGGGCAGAAAATCCACCCCATGATAATCACCCCGACAAGCGAAGCCTTTTAGTAAACGCACACAAGGAGTGAAGCGAACAGGGCAGGGCTGTTTAGTAAACAACCAGGGCCGTTTCGTGAACGTTAATTATCGGGTCTGGTTGGTTTTTCTTCCCTTGAGGGTGTGTCGCCGGGTGGGTCGCGGGTGGGTCGCGGGGTGGGTCGCGGGTGGGTCGCGGATGGGTCGCGGATGGGCACGGGGTGGGTCGCGGGGTGGATCGCGGGTGGGTCGCGGGTGGGTCACGAGTGGGTCGCGGGGTGGGTCGCGGGTGGGTCGCGGGTTGAGTCGCGGGTGGGTCTCAGGGTGGGTCGCGGGGTGGGTCGCGGGGTGGGTCACTGGTGTGCTGTGGGCGGGACGGCGACAACAATCAACAACATCAACAACAACAACAACAGCAACAACAACAATAAACATAACAGTAACAATGCCAGTAACAACAGCAACAACAACAACACCACCAACAACAACAACAACAACCACAACCACAACAACAACAGCAACAACAATCAGCTTAAGACTGTTCGCCCTTATCTGCTCGAGTGTCCAATAACGCGTATTTCCCAAAGCCTCGATACCCGCCCTCTTCGTCTTCGATCGAACCCTTTTGGGGGGTATACTGTTTTTCCCTGCAGGCCGGGCCCCGGCAAGCGGCGGGGCGGCCGCGGACCGTCGGCCTGGCCAGCGGCAGCGCTGATCGGCGGAGCGGCCGCGGACCGTCGACCCGACCCCAAGAGGGACGGACAGGGGACCGCCCACGACGACGACGACGACGACGACGACGACGACAACGACGTCGACGACGACGACGACGACGACTACGACGACGACGACGAGCGAAAGCGAGAGCGAGAGAGAACGACAGCAGGGCCACGAAGGACACGACGTAGGCCACGAAAGGCGACAGCGGGGACACGAAGGGAATGCGTATGGGGCCACGAAGAGCGCGAACGATCGGGGGCCACGAAGGGCAGATAATGCGGGGCCCAAGAAGGCAACGATGGGGCCACTGAGGGTAGCAACTCGGCCACGTAGGACAATGAGGGGACCACAAACGGCGACAGCGGGGCCACGAAGGGCATGCACATGGGGCCACAACGGGCGCGAACGAGCGGGGGCAACGAAGGGCATACGTATGTTGGGCCGCGGAGGGCAAGGACGGGGCCACTGAAGGCAGCAACGGGGCCACGAAGGGCGACAGCGGGGCCACGAAGGGCATGCATATGGGGCCACCACGGGCGCGAACGAGCGGTGGCCACGCAGGGCTTACATATATGGGGCCACGAAGGGCAGCGAGGGGGCCACGAAGGGCTGCAACGGGGTCACGAAAGGCAGCGAGGGGGCCACGAAGGGCTGCAACGGGGCCACGAAGGGCAGCGAGGGGGCCACGAAGAGCTGCAACGGGGCCACGAAACAAAGCGAGGGGGCGACGAAGGGCTGCAACGGGGCCATAAAGTGCAGCGAGGAGGCCACGAGGGGCTGCAACGGGGCCACGAAACAAAGCGAGGGGGCCACGAAGGGCTGCAACGGGGCCACGAAACAAAGCGAGGGGGCCACGAAGGGCTGCAACGGGGCCACGAAGGGCAGCGAGATCCCGATTCCTAGGTAATCTGTCAGGGAATCCTAAGCGTGAGCGCGACTCCTGGGTGCCTCGGTGTCGGGAGCGCGGCGCTTGAATAAATTGCAAGAGATTCAAACGCACGGGCGCTATTCGTCAGTAAATTGCAAGCAACTCTCCAGCGAGAGCGCGCATCCAGAGCGCCGGGAGAGCGATTCCTGAATAGATTGTAAAGAAGTCCCAAGCGAGAGCGCGATTCCTGCATAAAATGCGAGGAAGTCTCAGGCAGGAGCGGGGGTCCTGGCTAAGTTGTGAGGAAGTCTCGGGCGGGAGCCGTTGTTGTTGTTGTTGTTGAATATTATTACTTTTAAAGAATAGTTATTGTTGGGCCCCCTGGTGCACGCCCCCCTCGCCGCGCCTAGGCCGCAGCCACATTTTCATCATTTTCGTGAGGAAGTCTCAAGCAAAACGGGGGAGTCCGGATCCGGTTCTTTTGTTGACGCCCGCTTTCCCTGTCAAAAAACAATATAAAATGACATGTCTTGTTCTAACATAACCAAACTTCAAGAATCCTTTGCAAAAAATGACACGAAGTGCACACTCGCGCGCGCAAGATGAAATCCTTCCAAAACCTTAGTTTTCGTAGCGACTTTAACATAAAAACATAAAAAAAAAAACCCAATGGTTTTTCAAAAAAAAAGCTTCAACAATTCATCCCGCGCGCTCTTGCGGATTTCTTAGGAAACCCAATACTTTTTCAACATTTCTGTCAAACGGGCTCTTGCGAGCAACTTTTTCACGTGCTTCGAACTTCTGCAACAACGGTTGCGCGCCTGCCAGGGCCATCATCCCTGTCAAATAATACCATATGGGACACATTCGTTTTTTCTTCGCGCGCGCACGCCGAAATCTTCAATTGCAGGGGGAAAAGTCGTATACTAAGCTAGCTTACAGAAAATGTTACCACAACAAGTCATTGTACCCATGCGCCAGTGTAGTAGCCAAGGTCGTCCGCAGGCCACGAAGTGAGGTGTCCGAACGTCATAGGGCGGGAAGCTGGGTGTGGGTGGTGGCGAAGAGTCGTTTGGAAATTTGGTAGAGCTTGAACCGGCCCCCCCACAAAGTGGGGGTATTGCCCGCCTCCTATGAAAACCCTGGCACTGGTGAGAACGGAGTGTCCCCACGTGCTAGTAATTGTTGTTGAACATTATTTATTCTAAAGAATAATTATTGTTGGGCCCCCTGGTGCGCGCCCCCCCTGCGCCGCCTAGGCCGCAGCTACATTTTCATCATTTTCGTGAGGAAGCCTCAGAAAAGAGGGTGTGTACAGGATCCGGTTGTTTTGTTGTAATCCGCTTTCCCTTGCAAAAAACAATAGAAAATGACATTTCTTGTTCTAATATAATCAAATTTCAAGAATCCCTTGCAAAAAATAAGGTAAAGTGGACATTCGCGCGCGCAAGACGAAATCCTTCCAAAACCTTAGTGTTCGCAGCGATTTTAACATAAAAACATCAAAAAACAATGGTTTTTCAACAAAAAATTGTCAAAATCTCATCCCGCGCGCTCTTGCGGATTCGTAGGAAACCCAACACTTTTTAAACATTTCTGTCAAACGGGCTTTTGCGAGCAACTTTTTCGAACTTCTGCGACAACGGTTGCGCACCTGCCAGGGCCATCATCCCTGTCAAATAATACCATGCGGGACACATTCGTTTTTTCTTCGCGCGCGCACGCCGAAATCTCCAAAAACCATTGGGCTTCTTAAGAATTTTAGCACCGCGCATCATAAAATCACACGAATCGCACCGTAGGTCCTCGAAAAACACCTGCACGACTTTTCAAAATTTCTACCCGCGCGCGCTGTCCGAATCCTAAAAAAACCAATGGTTTTCCAACATTTATGTTACATGAGCTCGCGCGAGCTACTTTCGCACGCTCTTGCAACGGGGTTCGCGCGCCTGCCAGGGGCCACAATCCCTTGCGGTTGCGCCATAGGTTGCGCCCTCGGCCGCCGAGAATAAAACGTCCCCCTATTGGTTGCGCCATAGGTTGCGCCCTCGGCCGCCGAGAATAAAACGTCCCCCTACTGGTTGCGCCATAGGTTGCCCCAGGAGGCCTTCAAGAGGCCCCAAGAGCCCGCCGTGAGGACCCAATAAGCCCCCAAGAGGCCCCAAGATGCTTCCAAGAAGCCCCCCAAAGCCCCTCAAGAGGACCCCAAGCGGCGCCAGGAGGCTTCCCCCCTTCCCCAAGAGGACCCCAAGCGGCCCCAGGAAGCCTCCGACTGATCACTGGCACATCCGTAGCCATCTCGGATCAAGGTATCGCCTGTGTTCTTGGATGGTCCATGGCTTTGACGGCGAAAGCCCTTGACGAGCAGTATGGCCCGGAGCTGTCGCGGCCTCCCTTGGCCGACTGCGAGAGCCCGTATTATTTGCATCAGGCGCTCGTTGCAAAGGGTATCCAGGTCAGTCACCAGGCGTGCAAGACTTGGTGGGGCAAGTATCGGGTTGTGCCTGGCAAGGTTAGTATTTCTAGCGCCCAGGAGCTGGAGGAGCAGCACGGTTCTGCCATCCGCCACCTGGGCATCGAGTATAATACAGCTTTCAAATTATGCGGGGCGCTCCGACAGTTGGATCCACCACTGTATGTGACAGATCAGGTCGCTTCTGTGGGTGTACGAACGTAGGCTTAACAACTTCTGTGGGTGTGTACTCCACGCCAGTGTAGTAGCCACGGTCGTCCGCAGGCCACGAAGTGAAGTGTCCGAACGTCATAGGGCGGGAAGCTGGGTGTGGGTGGTGGCGAAGAGTCGTGTGGATATTTGGTAGAGCCTGCACTGCCCCCCCACAAAGTGGGGGTATTGGCTGGCGTCGCATGAAAACCCTGGCACTGGTGAGAACACTGAGCGTTCGGGTAAAGTGATTGTTGTTGTCGTTGTTGTTGTTGTAACCCGGGGGCCAGGGGCCCGGTTTGAGCATCAAGATTTTCCATATCAAAGAACAGGGTGCGAGCGTCGATGGGCACTCTTTGATTCAGAAAAAAAAAACAGTATGCACAGGTGGGGGGATCAGCAATATTTTTTCCAGAAATGAGAGAGAGTTCAAACAACAACAACAACAGCAACAACAACAGCAACAACAGCAGCACCAACAACAACAACACCATCAACCACAACAGCAACAGCAACAACAACCACAAAAACAACAACCACCACAATCACCACCACCACCACAACAATAGCAACAACACCATCAACAACAACGCAACAATCAAAATGTTCAAAACATGTTCTCTATCCAGCCACGCACCCAGGGACAATGAATGACCGTTCGGCCCCTTCACTGTTCACTCTGATGAACTTTCGGGGGACCGTGCGGATTCTTCGGATCTGCGCTGGGATCCCCGAGCGCACCTCCGACAGTGCACGACATCCGTCCGCGCTGACCTCTGGCATGTCATGTTTCGGTCATTGTCGGAGGACGCGTAATGGGGGGGGCGATAGGGGGGGGGGGGGGGGGGGCGAGAGCTGCCGAAAAGGGGCCTCTTGGGGCTCTTAAAAAGGCCATCCGGAAGGGGCCTCCTAGGGCCCGAAAAGGGCACTTGCTTTTTCTTGTTCTTTCCCCACCCCGCATGGATCGCTCCCCACTAACTAGCGCCTGTCTTTGTTTTGCTCCCAAAGGTCGGGATTTCCAGGGGCTCCGCATGGACAACACCCAGGACACCGCATGCCTGGGAAGGCGTCCGTGGCCCAGGGTGCCCTCCCCGGGACAGGGCACGTTTGGTTTCTGCGGTGGTGCCGCTGTGATGTTTCGTAGCTCGGCGCCCTCGCCTGGACGGGTCGACGGCGCACCTCGAAAGACACTTCGCTGACTCGGTGAGCCTCCGCCAGAGGGGGCCACCCAAGGGAATGTGGTCAAAAAACTGTTGTCCAGGTAGAGCACTGCTCACGAGGTTGAAAGGAGCTGTACAATCCTCCTCAAACGCCTCGTCTCCAGGGAGCACCGAACGAGCTCCAGAATGGTTCGAAAAGCTGCGGGCACCTTGCGCCAGGAACACCTGTGTAGGAAGCCTAGTGGTTGGCACCGACACCAGTATCTGCGCTTGCCTCCACCGAGGAGAGATGATCAGGATCTCGGAGATAGTTGTAAGAATCGGGCGTCTGGAAGATAACCACCAGCACCAACATCCAGAGTCCACACCACCTGACCGACGCAAAAAACGTCTCGTATGCACGTGCACTCGCGTGTAACTACCCGCGAATGGTCACGCCTATGCCCCCTCGTTTCCAATGTAGCGGGCCACGCTGGCAGCCCGCGTAAGCCAACGCGCAAGGCCACCACGCCATCTTGCGCAAGATCCGTTTATCGTAGTTGTTCGCTCGCCTTAGTGTTGGTGTCCGTTTCCAGCCCCCCAGGAGTGTTTAAAATCCTCTGGGCCATAACGGGCGTTATGCCCCCCATCCCCCCATAACGTAGCGCCCCCCACCCTCCCTGGTGCGCCCCCAGCACTGCCGCAGCGCGTCCGGCAGCACAGTCTGTGGTTCTGAACCCACACGGTGGGGGCGGGGGGGCGTTACGTTATGCCATGCCACCCCACACACACGCCCCCCCTTCCCCCCCCACACACAACATAACGCCCGTCACTGCCACGAAGGAAACATGGTTGCCAGTTCTGGCCCCCCCCCCCCGAAGGAGGAGGAGGCCCGGCTCCGCGAGGCGGCGGCGGCCCAGCGGGAGGTCGAGGAGCGGCTACGCGTGAGAGTGACCCTTCGCGTGAGAGTGGACCTCTGGTGCGGGCCCATGGGGGTCCTCCCAGCGCTTGGCCTGCGCGCCTGGACTTGGCCTCCCCGCGGCTCCCGGGAGCCGCGCACTGGAGGCCGCGCCTGCCGCGGGTCACTCCCGCGCGCGGCCGAGAGGAGCGGCGGGAGCTGGAGGCACGGCTGGCGCAGCTGCGGCGGGAGGCGGAGGAGGCGCTGCGGCAGGCCCGCGGCCGGCAGGCCGAGCGCTCGGCAGAGGAGGCGCGCGAGGCTGCCGAGGCCCGGGACCGCGAGGACCTCGAGCGGCGGGAGGCGGCCAGGCTCCGCGAGGAGAGCGACGCGCGGTGGCGCGCGGAGGTGCGGGAGGCGGCGGCACAGCGCCGCGCGCTCGAGGCGGCCGAGGCCTCGGAGGCGCAGCTGCGGGAGGCCGAGGCCGCGGCGGCGAGGGCCGAGGAGCGGCGCCGCGAGCGCGCCGCGGCCGAGGCGGCCCAGGCGGCCGAGGCCGACGCGCGCAGGCGGCAGGCCGCCCGCGCCGCGGCCGAGCTGGAGCGGCTGGAGCGCGACCTGTGGAGGCACCGCGAGGCGCAGGAGCGGCGCAGGCGCGGCGAGGTCGCCGCCGCCCTGGAGGAGGAGGCCGCGCGGGCGGCGCAGCGGGCCGCGGCGGACGGGGCCTGGCGCGGCGAGGTCGAGGGCTTCCGCAGGCGGGCCGCCGCGGAGCACGCCGCCGAGGCCGAGGAGGAGCGACGGCTACGCGCCGAGGCCGCCGCGCTCGGCGCCGGCGAGGCCGAGCTGGTGGCCACGTCGGCGGCGGACCTGCCTCGGCTGCTGCGGGCGCTGCAGCGGCAGGGCGACCTGCGGCTGCAGGAGTCAGTACCGTTCAGCCGATCCCCATCCCGGGTCCCATCCCGACTTCCACCAGCCCGCCTCCCCAGGTGGGGCTCTCGCCCCTCGAGGCTCGAGGGGAACAGCCCATGTCCCCATCGGCAGGGGGGGTGGGGGGGGCAGATCGGCCAGTGGGCCCAGGCTACGCCCGTGGGGACAGGGATCGGCCAAACGATGCTCCAGGAGGCGGCGGACGAGGAGGAGCGCCGGGCCGCCGCGCAGAGGGAGGCGGCGCGCGAGGCGGCGCAGCGGAGGGCCCTCGAGGGCCGCCTCGAAGAGGCGGCGCGGGAGGAGGCGCGCGAGGCGGCCAGCTGGCGCGCCGCGGTGCGGGCCCGGAGGGCGGCGGCAGAGACGAGCGGCGAGGAGACCCTGTGGGGCCGCGGAAGTGGCGCGGCGTCCGCGGGAAGAGCTCCTCCTCCTCCTCCTCCTCCTCCTCCTCCTCCTCCTCCTCCTCCTCCTCCTCCTCCTCTCGACTAGACGTAAAAGTGACCTTCGCCAGAGTGACCTTTGGGGCGGGCTCATCGGGGTCCCCCCGACCGCTGAGCGCGGTGCGATAGCGACTGACTGCGCGCTTGGATTTGGCCACCATGCGTCCCCACAATCCGCGCGCCAAAGGTCACTCATGCCTAGGGTTAAATCGGGCACGTTCCTCTACAGGAGGAGTATTGGAAATAGTAAAAAATATGGCAGGGACGATGTGCTGATTTTTTTGTTTGTATTCTTCAATGGTTTGGAATACTTATCAGTTGTCCGTCAAGATCTGCCTGTAGGGGGACATGCCCGACCTAAGCCTAGGGTCACCCTTGCGTGTGGCCGATCCCTCCTGCTGCAGCACCGTGCAGGAAATCCAGCGGTGCACGCGTCTGCTCCCATCGACGCTGCTTCGAGCAAACAATGCGAAGGTCGGCCTGAATTCATATGGGAACGAAGAATGGCATAAACATAAGAACTCGGAGGTCCGCGCGGATTTCTGGGATCGAGGACGCCGGCGGCGCATCACCGGCCGCTCCCTGGGAGTTTTTCGAAGAGGTGCGCAGCATCGAAAGTCGTGACGCGGCGCGTATGCCAGCTATCAAATAGCCGTCGCCCCATCCCGCCACCGTGCTTGGGTTTTGGGTCGGACGGAGTCCTCATGGACGCTTCCTGGGGTCTCTCGAGAGGGCTCTCGGAGGCTTCTGCGGGGCAGTTTAGGGGCCTCTTGGGGGCGTCCCAGGGGCTTCTTGGAGACCTCTTAGGCCCCTCTTGGGGTCTCTTGGGGCTCTCTTGGGGTTTGTTGGGGGCCTCCAGGGGGCCTCCTGGGGGCCTCCTGGGGGCCTCTTGAGCCGAAAGCTCGACATGTTCATTCGGGTACCCCTTCTGGGCCTCCTCTTGGGGCCATCCTGGGGCCCCTCTTGGGCCGTCCCGGGGGCCTCTTGGGCGGTCTCGGGGCCCTCTTGGGCCGTCTTGGGGCCGTCTTGGGGGCATGTTGGGCCGTCCTGGGGCGATCTGGGGGGCCTCGTCGTGGAGCGTGGGTAAGCCGAAATGGCGTGAACGTGAAAATCCTTCAAAAACAATTGAAAAATCAATGATTTTTGTTTCTCGGGGCTGTCTTGGGGGTGCTCTTGGAGCCCTCTTGGCCGTCTTGGAGGCGTCTTGGGCCGTCTGGAGGCCATCTTAGGCGTCTTGGAGCGATCTGGAACCGTCTGGAGGCTCTCTTGGACTGCTCGGGACTCTCTTGGACCGGCTTGGGGCGCCCTTGGGTCGTCCCCGGGCCGTTTGAGACCTTGAAAGGGACCGGCGGCAGAGTGGGGCCGGCGGCAGAGTGGGGCCCCCTCGGAGGGACTTTCAGGAGGTTTTTGACCAGGCACTGGAGAAGGGGGCCAAAGACTGTGCCAGACACTGTGTCAGAGAGGTCTCGCACGGCCCAACCCGCCGGGCGGGAGCGGCCGGATCTTCGCTGGACCCCTCTGGCGCCGCCCCTGGCGCGCTCCGCACGCCAGGGAGGGGGGTCCAGCGAAGATCAGAGAAATCCGCGCGCACCTCCGAGTTTTTATGTTTATGTCAGTCTTCTTTCTCCTGATTCAGATGCAGACAAGAGAGTTGCACACACAGTTCAGCACAGGCGGGAGAGAAGGGTTTGCAGCCGCGCTTCCCCACCTCCGCAGCCATGTGCTTCAGAGGCCCCGCAGAGGGCCGTGGTAGAAGCACGCATGTTGCATTGTGCACGCGCTGAGTCCAAGGCACACGCCACACAGAGCGTCACGAGCAACAATGCCCATGCCCTCGCGGTCTGGGCGCCTGGGCGCGGCCCCACGGACACGCTGTTCTGGGGATGCACCCCGCGCGGGGCCCCCGAGCACAGCCGCCCTGCATTTCTGAGGCCACGGCCTGGGAGGCCAGACCGCGGGGCCGTGGGCATGGCTACGCTCCCCGCTCCGATGCTCCTCCCGCCGCTCCCCTTCGAAAGTCCGAAGAACGGCTTGGCGGCGAGCCCCCCCTTCCCCACATGACTGGGCGGCGCCCGCACGGGGCCACCCCAGCAGGACGCGCCCCCTCCCTTTGCGGGGGGGAAGAAGTGCGGGAAAGGACGCCCAGCACCGACGAGGAACCTGCGCGGACCTCCAGATGTTCTCCTCCTCCTCCTCCTCCTCCTCCTCCTCCTCCTCCTCCTCCTGATCCACCTCCTCTGCCTCCCCCCCTACTCCTGAAGCCAGTGCCGCCCCAGTCCGATGCCAGTCCGATTGCGTTTCGCCGTTTTGGGCGGCCCTTCCTAGTTCTTGCGAAGTCCGGGACCCCCAGCAGGGATGTCATCGCTGCCCTTCACACGGCAGCATCAGAGCACGGGCGGAACCGGCAGCGCGCAACTGTCTTGTGCACATTCGGAGCGTCGAGGTGGCGGGCACGTCAACTTCTGAGGATGTTCAGTGCTGGGAGTCTTTCCCCACGGGACCCGCCGCAAAAAGTCCCGCTTCGACTTGACTTGGGACAGTAGGGGTCTTGCCCCGTAATCATGTCGCAGTCATCGTCGCAAGAGTCCGACTGTTGTGCAATCGCAATGCCTGACGTATACCACCAGCACGGTGTCATCAAGGATTCGGGCATACACCGGCCATCGTTGATACCAGCGCTGTGTAGCCATATATATACACATGTATATATATATATATATGTGTATATGGTTGCCTACGCCGTACCAAGACGATGCATCTGACGGTGTGCGATTACTTCGAGCCGAATTGGCCATCGAGATGCTCCTCCAGCTCGAACGACTGGTTTCGTCTAAGTCCCCAATCTTCCAGTCATCGTCATTTGCCAAATCATTATTACATCAATTATGGTAACAGCAGGGTTCGTGCAGCTCGTCCACCCATCCTACGTACAGCACAGATTCTGTCAAGTCTCACCCATATCCGTATTCGACCGTTCTGGCTCATATATGTGTTCTGGGTGATGGGGCGTTATCTGCATGCCCACGCCTGTGCACAGATTACGCGTGGTCGATGTCACAGTTGGTTGGAGCCCCGTCCCCGGGACGCGAGCTGGTATAGTTTTGGATGCCCGTTGTACGTCATCGCATCAATTTGCGTACATCTTGTATGCGTGATGATGTTTCTCTTGCCCAACTTGTTTCAAACACCAGAACTTTTATACTCCAGGCCCCACGTTTATGAATTGGTCGTTCAGTGTAAGAGTGTAATTAGCTTGTCTTCCTGATCGACCTCACCCTACCAAGCACTTGAGTGATGTATCCATGCATCCAACTGCTTGCGACAAGTCTCACCACCGTGCCGGCGTCGCACTCTGTGTGGCAACTTCTCGAGCATCAAAGAGAAGGCCGTCACATGTCACACATGTCGCCCGTATGAGGAGGAGGATCAGAAGACAGATGCATATGAGGAGAATGGGATCAAGAAAGATACCGAGGCGAGATTGATCAAGAGGGCGAGCAGGAGGAGCAGACCTAGGATGGCTGTCACATGTGACACTCGTTGCAGGAGGATGAGGCGGACGAGGAGGACGAGGACGGTAAAGGCAAGGACGAATAGGAGGAGAGACGCAGGAGCAGGAATAATATCACATGAAACACGTGTCTTCCCTCAGATGACGAGGAGCAGAAGGAGCAGGCGGAAGGTAGGAAATGCTTCACCAGGGTCGACAACGAGGAGGAAGAGGAGGAGGAGGAGGAGGAGTTGGAGGACAGAGCGAAGAGGACGATGAGGGGGAGGAGGAGGAGGAGAAGGAGGAGGAGGAGGAGGAGGAGGAGGAGGAGGAGTCGCATTGGGCATGCGCCGTCCCCAGGAGGAGAATGAGATGTCTATCATATAGCTGCGACAGAGACAAAATATGCGACACGCTGTCCCGTGCCGTGTTTGGGTGTGTGTCCTCGTCTTCGCTGTGTTCTTCCCTCCCTTCTATTGTGAAGGCCTTACGGCCAGTGCCGCCGACCCTGGAGACCACGACGACGACGATGACGACGAACAGGAGGAGAGGGAGGAGGAGCAGGAGGAGGAGGCGGAGGACGCGGTGGAGCAGCAGGAGGGGGAGGAGGAGGATACGGAGGAGGATGAGGAGGGGGAGCAGGGGCAGGGGGAGGACGGGTTTGGAAGGAGCAGTAGGAGGACGAGGATAATAGAAGGCGGAGGAGCAGGAGAAGAAGGAGGACGCGGAGGAGGAGGAGGAGGAGTCGGAAGTCTCGGCACTTCTGACGTCCTCAATTCTTATCGAGATGAGGCGCTGGCTCGACTGGTGTCGAGACTTTGGCTAATGCCTAATCCATTCGGCTTTGCAGTGTGGAGCCTACGGAACCCTCTGGCTTCTAAGGCCTCTCGGGCCAGTTCCAGCCCTGGGCCAGTTCCCCTGGAAGGTTCGCAGAAAGAGCAGCAACAAACGGGCACGGGGTCTTATCACCCTGGCGTGCATCACCCCCGCTCTCGGACAAGGTGCTACTTACTGGAATCGGAAGATCTACCTCTGCTGCTGCATCTACAAACAGACGCTGAAACCTCATCCCAGCCGCTACACACCACATCCCCAGGCTCCCCAACCCGGCTAAACCTGAGATGCGCCTGGCAGGCGCCTAAGCAGCTGGGCGGCGGAGGAGGAGCAGGGACAGAAGGAGGAGGAGGAGGAGGGCGAGGAGGAGGAGGATGAGGAGGAGGAGGAGGAGGAAGGGAAGGGAAGGGAAGGGCGAGGTCGAGGTAAGGTTGCGGATCACCGGGGGAAGAGCACGCGGGGGAGGGGGGGAGCATGATGAGGAGGATGATCATGAGGATGAGGATGATGGGAAGGAAGATGCGAAGGAGTGGGATGAGGAGAGAAAGGGTGAGGGGGAGGAGGAGGAGGAGGAGGAGGAGGAGGAGGAGGAGGAGGAGGAAGTGCAGGGGGAGCAGGAGGAGGAGGAGGAGGAGGAGGAGGAGGAAAAAGA